CCTTAGTATACCTAATTGAGTGATAAATTCTTTTATGCAGTGAATGTTTTTTTATTTGTCTACTGTGCATGACTTTTGTTTCATATTTACTTTATTTGTGTTACTTTATATTCGACTAGAATTGATTACTGATAAATTTATCCGCAAAAATAAATTGAATTAGACATTTTGTCTTATATTTACTTTATTTGCTTAGTTTTGCTAATTCAGTGATAAAATTTCCTATACAATGACTGATTTGCTTACTATGCCTAGTTCAGTGATAAAATTTGCTATTACAATCATAGATTTGCTTAATTTTCCTAATTGAGTGATAAAATTTGCGATGAGAAATTTATCTCTGAAATTTGTATCATATCATTCATTTTTTTAATTTTCATCTATGTAGGAGAACAATTTGAAGCACACAGATGAAGAGAAAAAAATATACCAAATGTTGCTAGGACAAATTGAGGATAAAGATGAAGATGAAGATGAAGATGAAGATGAAGATGACGATGAAGACAAAGTTGAAGATGCTGATTTTCAGCAACAAAATCAGACTGAAAATTCTGAAAAAGAAGAACAAACATTGATTCAAGACAAATCCAAACATGAAACATGGGAACCAATTCCACACAAAATATGCCCTGAAAAGAAAAGAAAAACAGTATCCTTTGAATCACAGAAAAGTGAAGGAAATGAAGTTGACAAAGAGTCTGAAGTGGATCTAAATCTGGTAGAAGTACTTGTTTTTCAGAAGATAGAAGACGATATGCTCAAAATGGAAAGGTTACAAATGGAAAGGGACATCTTTCAAACTACAAATGATAACCTGCAGCAGCAACTCAAGAAGCTGAACAAAGAAATGCATGATCAGCAGAAAACTACAAAAAATCAAATGCAAAGGAAAGATGAAGAAATCAAGATACCCCATGAGAGAATTGCAACCTTGGTATTCACCCAAAAAAAAGAATTGCAACCTTGGCTGAGGCAAACAAGTACTCGGAAGAACAACACACACAAGAACAGCCTGCAGTGAAGAAATTGAAAACTTCAAATGAAATTTTCAACATCCTACCAAAAAAATCAAGACAAAATCTCATTGCACATTGGGCGAATACAAAGAAAAAGTAACAATCTTCTCTCTTGACTCCTGTAGTTCACTTTTGCCGACTATTTATCATTAACTCATATTGAATTTATAAGTATCAAATATTCTAAAAATATTAATAAATTTATTATTCCAACACTAATAACCCTTTTTTCAGGGATCAGCCAATGTGGCAAGGAGCTGACCATGCAACCTATGTCTACTTAAATGATATTGACAAAATATTGAAGGGTCAAGATTTGGCAGGCATTGTAAGTTGAATTTGTAACTCATTAGAATAACATTTTAGTGTTTGATTTATACTAATTCCTTGTTTTGTTTTTTGTTTTCAACACAGGTTATAGACGCATATGTAGAACACTTGCTTGCCCAAAAACAAAGAACATCATTCATATTCATTTCAAGTTGCCATGTAAGTAACTAGTTTGCTTAACTGAGGAACAACACTTGTTTTGTTTTTTTATCAGTGTATAACCACTGTTTGCTTAACTGAGTAACTAGTTTCAAACATATGACACTACCTTCCTCTTCAATTGGCCTTGTTTCCTAATTCAAATCTTAACATGTGAAACAAAAAGTCAAGCAAATCAAACCAGAATTTCTGACTCAGATTTTGTAATCACTGTTGTATATTTTGACCTTGTTATTATGGCGCCACAATATGAGTAAATCCCAGTCTTTGATTATAACTTCTGGGCACTTTTTTGGGTTTTTGAAACTACTGCATATGATATTGAGAACTTCAACAAATATTGAGATATGTTGAAATTGAAATAGCTGGATTACATGCTACGGTGTTGCAGGACATAGTTCACTTTCATTTTGTTAGTGGTGAAGTCTCATAGAGCTCTTGTTTCATGTAATTTATTAAGTAATGGACATCTTTCATTACAAATATGGAATGGAGAGAATCATGATATAATATATATATATATATACATATATTAGTAGATGTGCACACTCACATGAGTGTACCTGAAATAAGTAATATGGATATATAGCCTATTACAGATCATCTATGAATATTTACAGAATGAAAGAGAATAACAGTATAGATATATTAGGGGATATAAAGATCCATTTGGCATGGAGGAGAAAAAAAGGCCTCAAGACACCAATAGATGTGTTCCCTTTATATGTAGTATAGATGAATTTTGCAATGCAGTGATAAATTTTGATATGGATTGATAAAATTGTGATCATAGTAACAAAAAGTTTCATACTCGCCACCTATTTAATTTGAAAAAGTTTAAAGTTAAATTAACATTATTTTTTTATTTATATTTGTTAGCACTTGTTGACAACAAAAGATGAGGAAGCAATAAAGAGAATGCTCAATAAATTGATGCCTGAAGCCATGAAAGCAAGATACCTTTTCTTCCCAATCCACCAAAATTTTCATTGGACAATACTTGTCCTTAACATTGTAGAAGGTTCATGGAAATTTTACAATTCCATGAGACCAAGGGGAGCAATGACTAAAGATCTACATTTCAATGCCGCAAATGAAGTGGTAAAAATGTTTTCACTATCAAACTTACCATTAATCCAATACATCAATCCTGATCCATGCTCAATTATACATCAAAAATTTATACAGTAATATATTTATCATTCTTTAAATCCATGGTTTCTCATTAATTGTTTCAACTGACTTTCTAATAGAACAATTATACAAATGTATATGTTGTAGAGAGAGATTATTGACAAGTACATAAAGGATGAGAATCCAACTCTCATCAACCCTGATAAATTTCAACAGGAGACAGAGAGCGTCATCAACAGCCCACCACAAGAAGACACGTTGTAAGTTTATCAATAACTAAACACTGTTATATATATATATAAAAAAAAAAGCAACGAAACCAAATTATAATATTTTGATTTCAAAATATTTTTGCAGGCTTGATTGTGGAATCATTGTTTGCTATATCATGAGGCAATATGTTTCCAAAAACAACATAATGCCTACTTTTTCCAAGGAATAATGTAATCAATTAAGAGCCGATATGTTAACTATCTTCTTGACTGACCAACAAGCTGCTCAACAACAAATAGTTGATGAAAACATTGGTGACTTGCCTCCGCAATAATCAACAACTTTGGAACATTGATGACTTCATACATTTTGCTTGTTTGGTTGTTACAGTATTGCCTGTATTTTGATGATTTTGGTTCTTACTTTGCTTCAATGAATATTACAATACTTGGTTGTTACAATGTCAAAGTTATAGACAGTGCTTGGTTGTTACAATGTCAAATTTACTTCAATGAAACATTCAGTCTTTTTTAGCCATATTGTTACCAGATCTGGCTTTTGATGTCAGTCTTGTTATGCAAATTTCATTCAAAATATTGATTCTAATCTGATTATTTGTATTGAATTTAAAGGTTAATAACAGGTTTGGAGTCATTATACTGATAAATTTATTTTTTTATAGTGTTTTATTTACACTGATAAATTTATTACTGTTTCAACAAATTTATCACTATTCAAACAAAAAAACCAGCAACTCTCTCTCTCTCTCTCTCTCTCTCTCTCTCTCATTCTTTTTCCCCAATTCAAGTAAACAAAACACTATAAAAAATAATAAAAAATTTACCTAAATTAAAAATTAAAACACAAACACTATTACATTGTCCAAATTGGAAATTAAAATACTGTTAAAATTTGTAGATATTCCCAAGTTTGAGAATGAATGTAAGAACATGCCATCCTTGGTGATTTCTGAATAATCAAAACCTTTTGATACTTCAGTTAAACAACTCAAACATCCAAAGCTTGCTTCTGAGTGACCACAACACAGTATGCAGACTGAGAACTTGTTGCTAAACCAGATAAACATGGTAGTTGATCTAAAATTTTTTGCTTTGCAAAGCAGTTAACACAGCAGATATGCAATTATGTATTCTAGAGATTTGATCTACAGCTTTGTATTGTGGAAATTTTTCCTTGGAAAATTAGATAACTCCAGACAAAAAACGCTTCCTATAAGTAAGTAATATACAAAGATCTACTCCTTTGAATGCTGAAAGACTTATGGGAAAAATCGTATTCAAACTTTGAATCTCAAATCTACTGTCATTTGGAATCTCATAAAAGACATCCACTATATAAAATCACTCAGAAATAACAAAAGACCAAAAAAGGATATATGTGTACATATATATATATTCATTTTCATTCTTCTCCTTTTATCAACAATCAACCCAAGAGTAAATAAGGTACAGTGTGAAGAGAAAGAAACTGGAAAGAGGTCTAGCATATGTCATTGTAAATTCAGTGCACAAATTATTTGTGTTTCTGAGGGATGCATTATCTAACAAGTAAGGCTGTATTCTTGTTTGAATTAATCAAGGCACAGAAAAACTAAAAACATGTATAACTAGTGACATCAATTGATTTTTGTTGAGTTTAAGCCAATGATAAATTTATCACTGTAAAAAAGAACATTTGCTTGGATATGACAGTGATAAATTTATCAACCACTGACATAAATGTAATAAACTGTCAACTCTTCCCATACAATCAGCGGTAAATTTATCATTCTTGAAAATAACAAAATTCAGGAACCCCATTAATGCTTGATTTCTTCCTTCAGACAATAGTAAATTTATCATTCTTACAAAAAAATAATCACCAACTTGTCCAAACCAACCAGTGATAAATTTATCACTGTATAAAACACCAAAAACAGCAACTATATTTAACCCAAATCAAATAATATAAATCTATGAAACTTAATCCTGTAAAAATATCAGCAAAAAATATAATTTTTGTTCAGCAAATTCCTTAATCATTCAATGCAAGTACCAAAATGATACATCTTTCAAAAAATACTCAATCATACAATGCAAGTAACACCTCTCAACTCTCAACAAAGTAATTCAATTAAAATCAATACAACTAAAGCAAAGCTTCTTTACATGTCTTCTGATTATGAATTCCCATCTTTCCACTCCTACTGTACCTAATTCTCTTGATTTCGCCCTTAGAAGGTATTCTCTCTGTTCTTGGACGTCCAGTTAGTCTCTTACAAAGAAGAGGTAAAACAATGTCATCATTAACAACTACATTTGGCTTCCACATACTAGGAACTGGATAGATAGAATGTGAATAAGAATCACAATAACTACTAACACAATAGTAATCATCAAGAAAAGAATTCAGATCCTTCACACTCCTCTTTATAGCACAAAAACCATGTTTGTAAGGAAAATAATCAATTTCCCACAATCGACAAGAACAAGAACGTTTTCCAATATCAACCATAACTGAATGATCCAATTGGATTTCATAAATGTCATTGCTACATTTCTTAACTATCCATGCTTTTGTATCATTAAAAGCTTCTTCCAACTTTTTCTCTGCAAAAGGACAAACAATACGATTCCACTTATTTCCAACTTCTCTCCTTCTTGAAAATTGCTCCATTAGTTTCACCCATATAGCATCAACAAGACTAGTTGAAAACAAATGGCGTTCATCCCTAATCCATGAATTAAAAGATTCCGCAACATTTGTGCACATTTCACCATACCTCTTGCCTTGAAAATGAGCGTTACACCAACACTCATTAGGCAAATCCTCAAGAAACTTCTCAACACTACGACCACAGCGACCCTTAAATTCTTCAAATAGCTCATTAAACAACTCAATAGTAGGAGCATATGCACATCTACTAAAAAGAGTAAGCAAATACTCTTTAGATTCACGACTCGTCATTGACAAATAAGTATTCAAGTTTGCCTTCAAATGCATTAGACAAAAAGAGTGAGAAGAAAACGGAAAGACCTCAGCTAAAGCTTTCAGTAAACCTCCATGCCGATCAGTAACAAACGCAATATCCCTCCCCGGAGTCAAAATAACAAATAACTTTGACAAGAACCAATGCCAACTGTCATAACTTTCACTATCAACAATGGCAAAACATAACGGATATAAACCTACAAACAAAATATATATACACGTTATCAATAACAAATAAAAAACATTACAAAAAAGAAAATCAAAACACAAAGTATATAACATATAGCACCAGCCATAGATAAATTTATCACTGTATAAATATAAAAATTTAACAAAAGTATACAACATAAATTTATCACTAATAGATTGACCATACTCAATAATCAACACTCTCCAGTAACAAAAATGATAGAATTATCACTATTTTAATAATAATAACAAATAGACACAAAATATACCTTGGTTACCGTCTTTTGCCATAGCAGCCAATAAACAACCTTTGTGTCTTCCTTTCAAGAAAGTTCCATCAAGCATCAACACAGGCCGACAATACTTGAAACCATGAATACATGCCTCAAAAGCGAAAAACAAGCATTTGAAATGTCTTCCTTTACTATCAAAAAAACACTCACCGGATTACAATCATTAGCGGCATCAACATACCAACGAAGATCGTCAAATGATGATGAATAGTCACCAAAAACAAGACCCCTTGCTTTTTCAACACCCATCCAAGCTCGCCGATAAGAAACTTCTGTTCCATAATAGTCCTTGAAATCACAAACCATCTCACTAACCGATGTCAAAGCCTTATTATGAATATCACTTGAAATTAGCCCACCAATCATACTTGAAGTCATCCTAGCATGTTTAATTGTACGAAAAGAAGATTCACAAGTATGAACATCATCAAATTGTTTAATAACAAAAGCTTTACTATAATTTTCCACTCTAGCATGCACGCTTCATAAACATCCCAAATCAGCCCTTCTCTTACAATGAACAGTGACACAATCCTTATCATTCTTAACAAAATCAAAATCAAAATTGGAATGAATAGAATACTTCGACAACACATCTCGAAATTCAACAACTCCTTGAGCAAACCTTTGTCCCACTCCTTTCATACAATTAACCCACCCATCGGAGAGCAAAGGTTTCCATTGATTTGAATAAAATGAAGGCAAAAAATCAATTTCACAAACAACACTACTACTACTACTACTACTAGCTTCACCATCACAAATCATATAACCTTCACCCAAAGAACAACACTTTACAAAAAACATCAATACGATGAATATCATAAGAAAGTGCCAGTCCAACCATAACCTCCAAATCCTCTTCACTTTGTAGACCACAACAAGAATGTCCAAACATTGAATACGATATATTCAAAGAACTGCCAACTAACTCACTCCACTTTGCACACAATTTATATACTAAATCTTTGAAATTAAATCCATCATTATACTTGATAACCAATGTCACACCTCTAAACTTGCACATAAGAAACAAACAATTCTCCATCACTATAAATCCTACAACAAACAACAATTATATTTCAGCAAGCAACTCAAACACTCTAAAACAAAATCAAATACAGTGACAAAATTATCAACCAACTCAAACACATCCAAAAATCAACACTGATAACTTTAACAGTTAACACCACCAAAGACCAAGAACAGTGAATTAGGCTTACACTTATTAGATATGGTAACTCGATTTGAATCTTACCATTACATTATGCAACCTTTTCATCTCCTATTCCCATACTCACTGATAAATTTATCACTGTTGAAAAAGTTAATCCAACAACACCCCCAAAATACTCAGTGATGAAATTATCACTGTATAAAATAACAAACCAGCACCTGTGTTCAATCAAAACAATTTCGTAACCAAAAAAAAGAAAATCTAAAATTCTTTACATATACATGTCTCAAATCTTTCAATATCATGATCAAAACACAAATTCAATCGCAATAGAAACAACAGAGTAACAACAATATCACCACAAAATCAAAATCACCAACTCAAACTAAAAAGAACCAAAACATTGAAATTGAAATCAAAATCAAACATACCAGTCGACCTAACTCCACAACATCGCAAATCAGAAAATGTAACTATACACCAAACACGAAATCGCAAATAGGAAGATTCATCAAGCACGCAATCGCAAATCACAATCGCGGAGATACACCAACCGCGAAATCAGAAATCACGAAGCTCCACAATAATACATTAACAAATCGTGAAGTTCCACAGAAATTCAAATCACAAACCCATACTCACAACACAATATTTTGATGGAAAATCCAAACAGAAATGCGTCAAAACAGGGGAGGGGTAAAACGGTACCAAAAAAAAATACTCATGACCTGTTGGTGCACAAGAGCAAAACTCAGGACTAATAGGGGAATAAGTGTAAAAGGTAGGACTGGCCAATAAAAAAACCCAAAAAATAACATAGTTAGAGAAATGCAGAAACTTAGCAGGCTCCTCTCCTAAGCAAGCAAAGAAGGTTAAGATAAGATCGGAGGGAGAGAGAGACATTATACATAACAAGAGCACAAATTTGTTTTCAAGTGTAATAAGAGGTGAAATTGCAATTGAAGATCACATATGTTGGGAAGATTAAATCACAAATCAAATAATATCCATGATACAATAATAAGATACGAGGCATGTAGGGTTGCAATTGGAGAAAACAAATTAAAGTTTTCTAATTATAGGTTATTTTATAATTTTGTTCAAAAGTGTGTGCAAGTGAACTTTATGGCCATTGTTGGGGTGAATGACAATTTTTTGAAAGAGAAAAAAATAAATAAATAAATAAAGGAAAAGAAAAAAAATACATTAATGGGTCAAGACTTAATTTAAGGGATTGTGTTTTTTTCTTGGCCTCCACGTAGAAGCCTTAAGTCAACTAGGTCTTTAATTAAATGTGCTTAAGTGCTTAATCTACCTCCATTCTATTCCATTTCAACCAAGTGACCACCAATTCAATTCAAACCCAATCAAGGGCTTTTAGGTTTTCTCAACCACCACCCAAATTCACTTCTCTATATAAACGCTAGATATTCTCCCTCATATACTATACAGTTGGCCATCGTGAGGAAGAGGAAGAGGAAGAGAGGGAGGGGAAAAAAAAGAGGAGAAAAGAGGAGAAGAAAAAAAAAAGAGAGAAAAAGAGAGAAGAGAAAAGAGGAGAAAAAAAGAAAAAAAGCAAAAAAAAAGAAAGGAAGAAAGAATTGTGTCCAAGTAGGCCACTCTCCACCCTTACTTTCCATCTTTTCTACTACTTATTTTCCCTTCCCAATGCATGCTATATGTATAATATATATGGTATTTAAAGCTCATGCCCTTGTATGATCATAAAAAAAAATTCAATTTTTTTTTTTCCGTCAATTTCCAACATACTCTTTATCTTTCTTGATTTTATTTTTGTATCAAACATTCATGAACTCAAAGATCTGTTTCAACGGGGCGTTATTGGTTATGTTTAAAGCGTGAGATTTTTGGTAGAGCCTAAGGGTGTGTTTTTATAACCTAAACAATTTTTCTAAGTTTTTGACACAAAGAACGAGAAAAAACAGCACTCTTTCTACAATTTTAGAAAAATTCCCATGAGTCCATTTTTATAACAAAAGTTTCCTTTGGATGTTAGTTTTTATAGAAAAATTGTTTGCAACAAAGTGAGTGGGTGGTTTGAGAGAAAAAGTCATTTCTCGTAACAGTTGACAATTCTGGACAAAACCTAATATTTTTGAAATTTCTTAAAATCTAGAAGATCTATCCTATTTTTGTAAATTGGGTATGAAACTAGACTCATTTCTCTACAAACTCTCAAGAGGCTAGGTTCTTAGGACCACATAAAGTAATTATTTCCATATTTATTTATAAAACGGTTCGAATCTGAAAAATTTGGAAATTTGTATTAATGTGCTCTTTATTGGGTTTCAACTCTTTTATGTTATATCTCTTGAATACTTAAGCTTTGATATGTCATCTAGGATGATTTTGTGAACTTATTTTACCATGCATAAGTTATTTCATGTCTAGCTTGGATTGTTATTATTATGATCATGCATTGTTGTAACCGAAAAGCATAATGAACCTAATGAAGGGGAAATCTAATGGGGTGGTAACATGTTACGTTTACTTTTAATGTTTTTATGAGAAGGATTTTGAAAATGTAATATGGTTGGATATGTTCCCTTATTGAGTTAGGTTTTGCACAAGTGGTTGTTTCGTAACCCTAGGATGGATCAGCTGTATTCAGACTTTATACGGCGTCGTCTTTTTCTTTTCTTCTTTTTCTTTTCTTGAGAGATAAGTTTGGGTCCAGTAAGGGACATTTCGGGTGTTGACTAGTGGCTTTTTTGTCCCTTTTGATGTCCTCGGTTGGCGCTAATTGGTAAATAACCGACGTAGGTATTTGTGGCAAGGTCTGCAAAAGAATAAAAGGAAAAGCACCGAATAATTTGAATCCAATCCTTGTGATTGGGAAGAAAAATCTCTTTGGAGGATTTTAGAAGTGTGCTAACTTCTTACCTAATAATTCATTTCTTTATGGAATTCTATATGTTGCATCTTATTCGTATTATGCAAATGTGTACTTGTGTGTATTCGATATGGGAAAAGGAATGGGATGTGGTGTGTGCATTTATTGGGCATTTTAAATTTTATGACATTTTATGCAAGGTGAAGATGAGTTTTTCAATTAAGTTTTGATAGAGGGTTATGAAGATGAGTTTCTTGGAATGCCATGATCTCGTGTTTAGCTTTCAACGAAAAGGGAGAGCTTGGAGTTGATTTATTTGAGGAGATGTTGTCGAAAGATGTGAAACCAAATGATGCCACTTTTGTGGGAGTTTTAGCATGTTGTGCACATGCAGGGTTGGTGCAACAAGGTTTGGATTTGTTTGCTTCGATGACTACAAAGCATCAAATTGAACCAAAACTTGAACATTATGGATCGATGGTTGATCTTCTTGGGCGGAGTGGATGTGTGAAGGAGGCTCACGATTTAATTCGCACCATGTCTATGAACCCTAATGCTACTATCTGGGTTGCATTGCTAAGTGCTTGTCGTACTCATGATAATATTGAGCTTATAGAAAGTGCTGTGAAGGAGCTTATTGATATTAGACCTTGGAATTCCGGTAATTATGTGTTGTTGTCAAATGTTTATGCAGAAAGAGGGAAATGGGATGAAGTTGAGAAAGTGAGAGCGTTGATGATGGAAAATAGAATCAACAAAGCACCAGGACAGAGCATGGTTGGATAGTTTTACAATATTGGTTAGTGAATTAAGCAATTGTACTCCGTAAGGGTTATAATTCTGGTGTAATTCAATTTTTTCAACAAGTTGATAAGGATATGTGAGAGAAAAACGAAGGAAAACGTCGATTCGATATTGTGAGTCATTTGATCGGAACACATTTTGTTTGAAAAATAAGTAACGGACGACCTTCAAAATTATGCTATGTGTTAATTATTTTTCAAGCAAATGTGTTTCAATTAAGTAGCTCCCAATATTAGATCGACTTGATTTTTAGTGTGCATGATCTTCTCGCAAAATCATACAAAATAAACAATTTGAATCATTGAAACGGATCCAAAATGAGTTTATAGTGAGCCAAATAAAACCATCTAGTTAAATTTTTTAACTGAAAAGAATCCAATTCCTAATAAATAGATTATATTATTTTTAAATGGATCTAGAAAGTGAGCTTGTATATCATTTTTTTTTTCTCTAGAAAGTGGGTTTGTAAATAAAATATTCTATTTTCTAATCAATCATCTTATTGACACATCAATGTGTCTAGAAAGTGGACCTGTTTGTTATTTTCCTTTCAGATGAGTATAAAGTAATTATCGGATCACAAGTATATTTATAGGATCTATGCTAAACAAGTTTGTCAAAATGGACTTTTTCACTAATTTTCATTATTTCCTAAATTCCTACTAAAACTCACAAAAAAAAAAATCCCAATTTTTACAAATCCAAATTCTATTAAAAATTTTAAAATTACAAAAAATCTACAAGTTACAATAAATCAATAATATTAAAAAATAATTAAATTATTCACAATTTATCATTTGAAGGCCTACGACTCCATAGGAATAACATTCACTATATTTCTTATGTATAATTAACTTTAATTTACTACATCTATCAATTCAATGGTACAAAAGTTTAAAAATTAACTGAATTTGTCACTATAATAAAAAACTGACTTTGTCAAAGCCAATTTAACTTGGGCCACTAGAGAGGTTCTAAATTGGGCTTTGGGTTTCCAATAGGGTACATTACACTAGGATTTATTACACTTTCTATGCTTAAACCATTATCAAATTATCTATTTAATTCATAAATTATGGATTGAGTCTCCTAAGTTCTTAAAATATATGAATCAAAATTTATTTAGTTTCTAAATTATTAATTGAATCTATTAAATTCCTAAAATATTTGTCTCAAATCTATTTGGTTCCTGAAATAATTATTAAATTAAAATATATGTCCGTAAGTATTATAAATTCGTAAAAGATGTTACCTAATTAAAAATTTATTACAAATTTTTTTATTTTGTCTCTATTAAGCATTTTATTTCATTGTGTGATTAAATTAATATTAAAGTCTGATTTCTTAGCCTTGCCAATAAAATTATATAAGAATTAGACATATTGAAAAAGTAGTATTAGATATATTGAAAAGTAGAATTAGATAATTTAAGTAATAATAGTTTGCTACAAATAATAATAGAAAAAATAATATATTAATTAAATTATAAAAAGAACTTAGTGAAAAACTTAAAAACAATCAATTAATAATTATAAACAAAATTTGACATATTTAGATAAAGACAAACACACGTTGTCATTTTAGAAGATAAATAAGAAAATATTATAAATAATTACTCTTATCCTCATAAAGAAAATTCACCCTAAGAGGTAACACTCACTTTTTAAAGATAGAATAAAAATTTAAGGTTTTTTGAAATAAAATTTCAATTAGATTTCAGTCCTTTATCAGTTTATAATATTCATGAACTTATATTTTATTTTTTGTAACCTTTTCAGGGATTAAATTGATTTGATTTTAATATCTTAGAGACTTAATAGATTCAATCGATAGTTTAGGAATTAAATAGATTTCAATCTATATAGTTTAGGGATTTAATGTACTAACAATTGGACGATAATCTAGGAGTATACAGTGTAATAAACCCATTACACTAACCTTAAAATTTGAAAAAAACAAAAAAAGTTAAAGTTTTGACGTAATTTTATTAACTTTTCTTTTAATATGGCTAAATGAATCAGAATTAATGTAAAAACATAAAATAATTTAAGATATAAGTTGTTGAATAAAAGAAATGAGAAGATCATTTTTTTTATTGATGTAATTAATAAATTATTAATCAATATGAGACTTAGTATTTTAATATAATTATATTAAAATTATATAATTTATTATTATATATATTTTCAAATATAAGGGACAAGTATAATTTTCCCTAAGAGCATCTCCAATGTTAATTGTCGTAATAGCATTGCTAAAATTATAATTTGACATGCTACGGTTGTAAAATGCTAAATTATAGTAATGTTTCTCCAATGGTGCAATGTCATTTTGGCATATTCCAAACCAACATTTTCACATATTTTTTAGGTGGTGTTTGGATATAATTTTTTGAGTTTTTTTTTTTTTTTTTTTTTTTTTTATGTTTTTTTATTGATTTTTTTCTTTTATCATCTTTTAATGACTTTTTTAAAAAAGGAATTAAATATTTACATTCCACCGGATTAGAAAAATATAAAAAATTAAAAAAAAATTGAAAAAAATATAAATATAATTCACTCCATTAGTCACATGCCACTACAAAATTTAAAAAAAAAAAATTTAGTAATTTTTTTTTATGACCTTTTTAATTTTTTTTCAAAAGCTATATATTTAAACAACTAAACAAATATAAAAAATTTTAAAGCTTAAAAAATTTGATTTTTTAAAAAAAAATTATAATTCATCCACTATTCACATACTATAATAATTTTTTTTTTAAAAAAATATTATCTATTTCAATAAAAAAATACATTGGGTAAATTAAAAATATATATATCTGAGGTTGATTAAAATACGAATCGCCTTGTGGTTTTAAAAATTATATTCCACCCTCTGAGATTTACAATTTCATAATAAATCTCTTCTTTTATTAGAAAATATCAAATTAATTAACAATTTTTAATAATTTTAGAAACATATTTTAATTAATAATTTAAGTAATTTCATTATTATATACAAAAACAATTATAAATTTTATTTTTCTTGTTAATTCTGTTAAATAAAAATTCTGATAAAGAGATATTTCAAATTTTCTAAATCACAAAAAATAATTTATACTTTAAACAAATCTCATAAAGTATATTTATAATTTATCCAAAATACATTAATGATAACATAAAAATTAAATAACATACTAACTATTTCATCTAGAGAGCAATAATAGAGACTACTAAAAGTGATGGTACTTTAAAATAATCACTAATGATGTAACATTTATTTTTTTAAAAAAAAAGAAAAAAAAAAGACACAAGCACTATCACATCTTTATAGTGGCATTAATTAGTGTTTTCGTCCATTTTCCTTCTATTCATAGCCTTCCTTTTAAATTTCATAACTATTTCGGGATTTTTTTTTGAACCAAAACTATAGCAGATTGAAGCCCTCTCTCTCTCTCTCTCTCTCTCTATATATATATATATATATATATATATATATGAGCAAACGAAGTGGATGCTGGGAAACCCTAGCCGCATACAGAGAATAAAGAGGAGTAGGAGAACCAAAGCAATTGCTGCGAAAACCCCAAGCATTTTCAGGTAATTCCACTTTCTCTCTCCTCTTTCCCCAACCATCCCACCGTAACCCTACAGTATTTGTGAACAATAAAAGCAATAATATGTTATTGTTCTTCCATTTCGCGATCTCAAGAAAAAAAGAGAGGGGTTTCGTGATCTGCACAAAATCATCAAAAAAAGTAATCTTTTCCGGTTAATAGTTTTGCCTATCTCATAAGCATACATATATAGTGTCAATGTCTGTATATGTATGAAGTACCTGTTCTTTTTCTAGGGCAGAGGGGCTGTTGTTGGCAGCCATTGAAATCCGAAGGAACTGAAAGATCAATCAGAAAAAATATTCAGAAACAAGAAGTCACTCACCAATCAGAAAAAATATTCCGAAATTATTGTACATTTTCAATTATATACTTCGGAATTATTTATAAATATTTGATATTTAAATTTTGATTTTTTAAAATTAAATTGGTTCTGTAGTGCTGAATGTTTTACAATTTCTCAGTACTTGATATCAGAGTAGTTTATGGAAGCAATGGATAGAGTGTAACAATGGAGTGTAGCAAGTAATGGAAAACAATAGAGGTAGTGAGAAACAATGTAGGAACTAAGTTTTAATTTTAATTTTTTTTAAAGATGTGCATTGAGAATTATTGTTTTTTAAAGATGTGTATATAGAAAATCTAGATTGAATTTGTAGTCATTATGGTCATACTTGCCATTTTTCACTCTTTTTTATATTTTTTAAATTTTGTAAACATTTTGTCAATTACCAAACGCGTTTATAGTTTATGTTTTTCTAAAAATAAACAAAAAATAAACAAAAATCAATTTATAAATTTTTTGTAAATATAAACTGAAAACGTAAACGTTAGCAAGCACACCAACTATTTCATGTAGAACCTTCCTTTTAAATTTCATACCTATTTGAGGATTTTTTATTTTTTATTTTTTTGACAAAACTGTTGCAGATTGAAGCCTTCTCTCTCTCTCTCTCTCCCTCAGCAAACGAAGTGGGCAAACGAAGTGGTTGCTGCGAAACCCTAGTCGCATACAGAGAATACGGAGTAGGAGAACCAAAGCAATTGCTGCGAAAACCCCAAGCATTTTCAGGTAATTCCACTTTCTCTCTCCTTTTTCCCCAACCATCCCACCGTAACCCTACAGTATTTGTCAACAATAAAAGCAATAATATGTTATTGTTCTTCCATTTCGCGATCTCAAGAAAAAAAAGAGAGGGGTTTCGTGATCTGCACAAAATCATCAAAACAAAAGTAATTTTTCCGGTTAATAGTTTTGCCTATCTCATAAGCATACATATATAGTGTCAGTGTCTGTATATGTATGAAGTACCTGTTCTTTTTCTAGGGCAGAGGGGCTGTTGTTGGCAGCCATTGAAACCCGAAAGGAACTGAAAGATCAAACAGAAAAAATATTCAGAAACAAGAAGTCACTCACCAATCAGAAAAAATATTCCGAAATTATTGTACATTTTCAATTATTTACTTCGGAATTATTTATAAATATTTGATATTTAATTTTTGATTTTTTAAAATTAAATTGGTTCTGTAGTGCTGAATGTTTTACAATTTTTCAGTACTTGATATCAGAGTAGTTTATGCAAGCAATGGATAGAGTGTAACAATGGAGTGTAGCAAGTGATGGAAAACAATAGAGGTAGTGAGAAGCAGTGTAGGAACTAAGTTTTAATTTTTTTTTTTTTAAGATGTGCATTGAGAATTATTGTTTTTTAAAGATGTGTATATAGAAAATATAGATTTAATTTGTAGTCATTATGGTCATTTTGCTTCATGATAAAATTGTCATAACTTTTTTCTTCATTAATTGCGTACACAAAGACAAAAAAAAGTGTGGAAATAGAATCTCCATAATAAACAGAGACTAGATCACATTCTTCATCACATCATCTTCATCATTTTAATGGGTTGAGACTTGAAAGGGCCGAGAGACATGCCCCCTCAGTCTTCAGGTAATGTTTCTTCTTCATTGTCATTGCTAGACATGTTAATTCTTCTTAGGGGTTTACATTCTTTTCTTCAGTTCATCTTTGTCTAGATTCAAGTTCACTATTTGAATTATTTTTTTGCCGTGCATTATTTTTATTAGCGCTTATATATATGTTTATTTTATTTTATTTTATTTTATATTAATGAACAAGAACTTTTGGAGTGCAACTGTTTTATTTTCTAATAGGTTTCAATGCTTGGAATCAAGAGTATATAGTTTCTTATATATTTTTTTTTCTTTTCATTTGTAATAAAATAGGTGTTTACTTGGAAGTTTTGATGGCATGAGTGGAGTCGGAAAAAAATAAAATGAGGTATTCTTTGCTTCTCATTGTCCTGTGTGTATTTTCCTTATTTAATTAGATTGTTTTTATATTATTTTTATTTAATGTTTTGTTTGATTCAATCAATAGTTTCTATACTCTTATAATAATGTTGCATTTTACATAGTAATTTGATGAAACTTTTTTATTTGAGAAAAATAAAATATCTGGTTAACATATTGTGCAGCTCATGTATTAATTTGGTTGGTATTTTCTTATTTTTCCTTTTGTGGTTTTGGTGGTTAACCAACCGTTGGGTCTTGTACACTTTGGTTTGAAAACCTTTAACAGAAATCATCAGTAGAGTAATTACAATCCAGTGGGGGTTTTTTTGAAAGAGCAATAGACGTGCAATGGCTTGTCTCTCCATTATATCTACCATAGTTGCAGAGACCTACCGCGGCCTTTCCATCTTGCATGACAACCCAACATGCCATTTTTTTGGTTGTGCCAAACTATTATAGTTGTGGGTAGTCAGCCATTTGATATACTATTTATTTTCTTTGTTTTATTTCTTTATTTATTTTTGTTTTGTTTTATTTAATTTTTCTTTTCTTTTTATACTAAACAATAAAAAAAAAATAAAATCACTTGCACCTAAAGATCCCACAAGATATTGCCGATTGGACATACTTTTGAGAGCATTACTCTTGATATCGTGGTATGGTACACCCAAGGTTCTAAAAAGCGGTTGCGGTCGCCGTAACCTCTGTTATCAGAATCTTACGATTCGCGATTCGATTCACGATTCAATTCACAATTTTTGTAAAATCGATACGAATCTATGGGCGAATCTATTTTGGAAGTGAATCTCTAGTGAATCGTACGATTCACAATCGATTCACGATTCGATTCACTTTTTACGATTCATGCAATTTTTGAAATTATTGTGTCCAACATATTTCGTCTCTTTTTTTGTCCATCTTTTTGGTGAAAATTACATAATACAACTTCTAGTAGTGTTTAATACCAAAATAACTAACGTATATACATGATTTGTTGTTATTTTAGTAATTATGGAGTTTTTAATAGGATCCAATTAGATTTAATCAGACCCAACATATTTTTAACCTTTCTTCTCATTTTTTTTTCTTTAAAAAATCATAATATATCTTCTAATGATGTTTAAAATTAAAGTTAAACTGTGAATTATCTATTGCTGAGATCAGTTATATCTTTTAAAATGTTTTAAGCTTTAAAATAAAAGATTCTAAATAATTCTTTCTTATTATTTGCTCACTGTTACTTAGAAAAATATGTATACTTATTGTCCAAATATCAATATCGTTAATTATTATTACTTTAGAAATTGATAGTTTGTCTATTTGGTTATAATTTTTTTATTAAGAATGGTTGATAAGACATATCTAAAAAAGAAAAAAAGGTAAGATGGTGATCTTACGTAGGAACCTTTGTTACCTTCTTACCTATTAAATTACGTGATTATCATTCAAAATAATATTTTCATAAATTTAAGTCTATATATTTTATATTCATAAGATATATTTAACATCTAAATGTGTAGATATATGTTTTAAGTAATTTAGAAAAAATGACCGAATCTTTACGATTCACGATTCGATTCGATTCGCGATTCGGTACGAGGTCATTTCGATTCACGATACGAATCCCGATTTAACAACTATGGCCGTAACGGTGGCGGTGGCGCGGTTGCGGGGTGTAAAGGCCGTAGCGTAACGGTTGCGGTAACTGGAACCGTGATTTTTTTTATTTTTTGCACAATTTGAAAAAAATTTACCAATACGCACATTTTTTTCCATGATCATATTTATTGGGTTTTAAAATAAATATTGATCAATTTTTATAAATTTTTAAGTTTGATCCAATATATTTCATATTTAAATCACTATAAACTGAGTTTTTTACATTTTATTTTAATAATTAATGACTTTATATTATACAAAAAATCAATCACTAATTATTATGTATAAGATAAACAATGACAAAAGTAAGAGAATAAATAAAAGCCTAAATATATATATATATATATATATTAATCAAGCCAAATAGCTAATGACCACACTTATTATTATTATTATTATTATTATTATTATTATTATTATTTTCAAACAATATATAGATAGACGCACACAAATAAAATGGTTGAGTGATAGCAGCTGAATAGAATAGCATAGGTCTTACAATTTCAACAAATCAATAACATGTTCATCTTCTCTCTTCTCTCTCTCTATCTCTTGTTCCTCCATCTTCTTTCTTCTCTCTTTACCTCTCTTTCCCCATTTTCAACCTTTTTTTTTTTTTTGTGTTTTTTTGAAAGAAGCAATTCAAAACCGTTACGTAACGGTGCGTAACAGGCCGTTATGGCCGTTACGGCACCGTTACGACCGCTATAGCAGTCGCTACGGCCGATACACCTGTGAATCTCAATCACACTGCAAAAGCAGCCGTAACGGGTGGCGGTAACTACCACAACCGTTATGTAACGGTATTACGTAACGGTTGCGGCCGCTTTTCAAAACCTTGGGTACACCGTACATGGGTGCTCGTCTTTCTGATCGAATTGGCATCAGGGCGTTGGGATGAACTTTCCTCTCTCTAGTGGGGATAAATGGAATGGTACCTTGCTTTGGTACCAAAATATTACGGCAATTCGTTCTCCTCCAAACTATTCCTTATGAAGGGCAAGTAGGGGAGGCGGACCGATTTCGTTTTGACTTTTGTCCGCAATGCAAGGATTAGAGACTTTTAGAGGCTCTCTGTAGTAGGAATAGTCAAGATTATGCCATTTGGGTTTTTGAGACAGTTTTTGATCGCCTTGGTGTGCATGAGTATAAAAATCATGTTGGTGTAACTACAAAATCTAGTTCTAAAAGCACTTATCAAAACTTCACTTTGTATTCATGTACAATAACCTTGCAAATATACATATGCATACACGCACACATCTTAATACCTTCTAAACAATGGTTTTCTCTTCTATTCTCGTTATATATTTGCAACTTACCATTGATACAAACCCGAATGCCTCTTAACAACAATTGTTAGTAGTACTAGGGAAGAAAATAATTGAAAGGAGAAAACATCACATAAGATTAATATTGAATAGAAGAAAAGTAAAAGATAAACTACGGACTACACTTGCAAAAGGTAAGATTTTTAATGTAAAAAATAATAAAATGAAACTAGGTGCACCTACATACCACTAGAGAGAGAGAAAGAGAGGGGTAACCTAATTAGGGAGTGAGTGGAAAAAGGGTTAATGAGAAACATTAGAAGCAGAAAACATTTAGAACTGAATTAAAATACTATTTTGCTATAGTTTCCAGCATTTGTATATACATATATTTTCTTTCTTAATTATGAATTTTTAAAACAAATATTTTTCACATGTCTATTCTTGTTAATATAGCAAACTATAAAACGCCCCATCTACTTTCTTTTTCATTGCAGAGTCTATTGAGCACAGTTTCAGCTTAGGCGTCAGCTTATTGCAATTAGTGACAAAGAGAATGTACCTTCACAGAAATGGAAAACACTTGGAAGACATAATCAATGAAGGGCCTAAGTTGAAAAAGCTGATCGGGCTGATCGTTGAAAGTTTGCTAAGCTTGGGATGTTAAAAGAAGAAAGGCAAGAAAACTATTAAACTAGCACTCGATTGTCTCCAAGGAAATATAGATGCATCAAAAGTTGTTCAGAAATTGGATAATTTTTTTTAGAAAGAATGGGTTTACAAACAACCTCAAATGCTTTACAATATTATAAATTTTCTTCCATGTAATTACTAGTCTTTGTGTAATGGCAACTGTGTTAGACCGTGTCAAGGCTTTTATGATTGAGGTTCATATTAGGGAAAGGAGAGTGGGGGGAAGCAACTTTATCACGATTACATTTTACATGTATGTTTGTTGGAATATAAATGTTGCTGGAGCATACATTTTACACTTTATTATTCTTGTAATTATACTTGATGTAAGATGCTAAATTTAGTATATTACTTAAAATGCAAAAATCAATTCTTTTACTCAACACAACTGTGTATGTTAGTTTGAGGATGACTAGTGTTTGCTAGGGTTTACAACTTAGAGAGGTTTTTCTTTGTCTAGAATTCAAGTTCTAAGAAAACCAAAATAAGAGAAAGATTAGCGCCAAGCTCGTAGAAATGATGTTTGCATGAATAAAGGACACATTTAATTTACAGGGCAATAAATCTAACTATTTCAAATCGTTCTCTCCATACCCAATCTAAAATTACAACCTTTGTTTTCAGAATTCGACTAGCCTAACAATAACTGTCCATTGAATGCTGATATTAATTCCTAAGACTACTAAGGAACTTGTGTTTTTTGTTATAGCTTTTTTCATGTCATGAATGATTGTTTTTTTCTTCTCGTAATATCAACAAACACATCTAATCAACTTAATCTATTTCTCCAAAATTTTGTGCCACCTAGTGTCTGCATAGGCATGAGCTTCTTGGGTCTAAGACGCTAATTCTCACTTATTTTTTACCGCAATGCATATTTTCTATGATAATTGTCAGTGTTTTCTTAAATTGGCTTGTAATGATAATCACTACTATTAGTGTAATAGTGTAAGCATTTCTTTCATGGTAGGATATTCAAATAGCAATGTCATGTTACAAGTTAAACATTTCTTTAGTCTAGAGCCAACTTTGGCAATCTTGAGAATCTAGTCACAAAACAGAGCGAAGCTCATAGAAAAAATAACGTAGTTAGAGAAATGCAGAAACTTAGCAGGCTCCTCTCCCAAGCAAGCAAAGAAGGCTAAGATAAGATCGGAGAGAGAGTGACATGATACATAACAAGTGCACAAATTTGTTTTCAAGTGTAATAAGAGGTGCAACTGCAATTAAAGATCACATATGTTCGGAAGGTTAAATCACAAATCAAATAATATCCATGATACAATAATGTGATACGAGGCATATAGAGTTGCAATTAGAGAAAGTAGATTAAAGTTTTCTAATTATAGGTTATTTTATAATTTTGTTCAATGGTGTGTGCAAGTGAACTTTATGGCCATTGTTGGGGTGAATGACAATTTTCCAAAAAAGAAAAAAAAAAAAAGAAAGGAAAAGAAAAAAAATACATTAATGGGTCAAGACTTAATTTAAGGGATTGTGTTTTTTTCTTGGCCTCCAAGTAGAAGCCTTAAGTCAACTAGGTTCTTAATTAAATGTGCTTAAGTGCTTAATCTACCTCCATTCTATTACATTTCAACCAAGTGACCACAAATTCAATTCAAACCCAATCAAGGGCTATTAGGTCTTTTCAACCACCACCACCCAAATTAACTTCTCTATTTGAATGCAAGCATTCTCCCTCATATACACACCTATACAGCCGGCCATAGTGAGGAAGAGGAAGAGGAAGAGAGGGGGAAAAAAAAAAAAGAGGAGAAAAGAGGAGGAGAAAAAATAAAAAGAGAAAAAAAAGAGGAGAAAAGAGAAGGGGAAAAAAAAAAGAAAAGAAAGGAAGAAAGAATTGCGTCCAAGTAAGCCACTCTACACCCCTGCTTTCCATGTTTTCTACTACTTATTTTCCCTTCTCAATACATGCTATATGTATAATATATACGGTATTTAAAGCTCATGCCCTTGTATGATCATAAAAAAAATTTCAAAATTTTTTTCCATCAATTTCCAGCATACTCTTCATCTTTCTTGATTTTATTTTCGTATCAAACATTCATGAACTCAAAGATCTGTTTCAAAGGGGTGTTATTGGTTATGTTTAAAGTGTGAGAATTTTGGTAGAGCCCAAGGGTGTGTTTTTATAACCCAAACAAATTTTCTAAGTTGTTGACACAAAGAACAAGAAAAAACAAAAAAACAGCACTCTTTCCACAATTTTAGAAAAATTCAGAAAAATTCCCATGAGTCCATTTTTATAACAAAAGTTTCCTTTGGATGTTAGTTTTTATCTAAAAATTGTTTGAAACAAAGTGAGTGGGTGGTTTGAGAGAAAAAGTCATTTCTCGTAACAGTCGACAATTCTGGACAAAACCTAACATTTTTGAAATTTCTTAAAATCTAGAAGATTTGTCCTATTTTTGTAAATATGGTATGAAACTAGACTCATTTCTCTGCAAACTCTCAAGAGGCCAGGTTCTTGGGTGCCTCTATTTTTACACCACATATAGTCTCAATTGATTATTTTTTATTACAATAATGACTTAACATAAAATGACCAAAATAACCACAAAAGAATATCAATACACCCCTCACACACCACCACTCTCCGCCGCCCGATTCGTGACAGTGAAATGATTTAATTAGTTATTTTTTATTGAATCAGTTCACCAAGACCCTTGACAAAAACCTTGGTCAAAATTTCAATTTAAACTCAAAATAAATAAATTTCCGACTGTATTTGATATGATCTATTCTGTGTGGTACGGGTCATTTTATATTTGGATTTCATGTGGAGGTCTGTGTTTGACTCATTTGGTTGCAGCTTTTAATATTTTGAAGATGTATAGTTTTTTTTTTTTGGTATATTGTGCTGAGGGTGACTGGTTTTGTTTTTGTGCTTTGCATCCCTTGTTAGTTACTTGTTTTTTCTTTTGGTTCATAAAGGGTGGATATCATTTTATGGCATTGCAAAACTTCACAGTTCTGAACAAATTTCCAGCTATATATTCTATGTTTAAGCTCCAGTTACTAGCAAGTTAATGAAGAGTTTCAAATTAGGGTTAGGGTTAGGGTTAGGGTTGGTGGGGTGGTTGAAAAAGATGAGGATATTTTAGGTATATTTGAAAATGGATGGTGTGTACCAAGCAAAAATAATAAAGTTAAAATTGTGTTTGGTGTGCATTAAGTAAGTGATGTGCCTTGAGACCAAATGTGGTGTGTAAATAGAGACACCCTAGGTTCTTAGAACCACATAAAGTAATTTTTTCCATATTTATTTATAAAACGGTTCAAATCTGAAAAATCTGGAAATTTGTATTAATGTGCTCTTTATTGGGTTTCAACTCTTTTATGTTATATCTCTTGAATGCTTAAGCTTTGATAGGTCATCTAGGATGATTTTGTGAACTTATTTTACCATGCTTAAGTTATTTCATGTCTGGCTTGGATTGTTATTATTATGATCATGCATTGTTTTAACCGAAAAGCATAATGAACCTAAGAAAGGGGAAATCTAATAGGGTGGTAACAGGTTACATTTACTTGTATTGTTTTTATGAGATGGATTTTGAAAATGTAATATGGTTGGATGTGTTCCCTTATTGAGTTAAGTTTTGCACAAGTGGTTGTTTCATAACCTTAGGATGGATCAGTTGTATTTAGGCTTTATGCGGTGTGGTGTGTGTGTGTTTTTTTTTCTTTTTTTCTTTAGAGACAAGTTTGGGTCTAGTAAGGGACATTTCGGGTGTTGACTCGTGGTTTTTTCGTCCCTTTTGAGGTCCTCGGTTGGCGCTAATTGGTAAAGAACCGACGTAGCTATCCGTGGTAAGGTCTACAAAAGAATAAAAGAGAGAGTACCGAATAATCTGAATTCAATCCCTGTGGTTGGGAAGAAAAATCTCTTTGGCGGATTTTAGAAGTGTGCTAACTTCTTACCTAGTAATTCCCATCTTTATGGAATTCTATATGTTGCATCTTATTCATATTATGCAAATGTGTACTTGTGTGTATTCGGCACGGGAAAACGGATGGAATGTGGGGTGTGTATTTAATGGACATTTTAAATTTATGGTATTTTATGTGAGGTGAAGATGAGTTTTTCAATTAAGTTTTGACAGAGGGTTATGAAGATGAGTTTCTTGGAATGCCATGATCTCGTGTTTGGCTTTGAATGGAAAGGGTGAGCTTGGAGTTGATTTATTTGAGGAGATGTTGTCGAAAGATGTGAAACTGAATGATGCCACTTTTGTGGGAGTTTTAGCATGTTGTGCACATGCAGGGTTGGTGCAACAAGGTTTGGATTTGTTTGCTTCAATGACTACAAAGCATCAATTTGAACCAAAGCTTGAACATTATGGATCAATGGTTGATCTTCTTGGGCGTAGTGGATGTGTGAAGGAGGCTCACGATTTAATTTGCACCATGCCCATGAACCCTAATGCTACTATCTGGGGTGCATTGCTAAGTGCTTGTCGTACTCATGATAATATGGAGCTTGTAGAAAGTGCTGTTTGGAATTCTGGTAATTATGTGTTGTTGTCAAATGTTTATGCAAAAAGAGGGAAATGAGATGAAATCAAGAAAGTGAGAGCATTGATGATGGAAAATAGAATCAACAAAGCACTAGGACAGAGCATGGTTGGATAGTTTTACAATATTGGTTAGTGAATTAAGCAATTGTGCTTCGTGAGTGGTGAATTCAAAATCATGACCCTCTTGGTGAGATATAAGTTAACACTGAGTTTGCAAAATCAGGGGATGAGTTGCGAAGTTGCACATGAGATTGATGTCTTGGAGCATCTGTGTTGGTCATGACTGTTTAAATCCAGGGGAAAAAATGAGGAGAATGAATGAAACTGGTTTACAAAAACAAATTGATTTGCGATTTTCTTGTCACTGAGGGTTATAATTCTGGTATAATTCAATTTTTGCGACGAGTTAATAAGGATATGTGAGAAAAAAATGTGAGTTACATGTGGAAAGAAAATTGTATCTGCTCTAGCTCATCCAGCAAAACCTTTTTGTGCTTTAAAGATCAATTCCCTTTGATCAAAACAGTAGGAGCAGTATAGTTTGCTCTGTTAATCATCAGTTGTGTACTTACGTCTAGGGTAAATTACACCTTACACTTGAACTATTATCATCCATAATGATTTTGTCCCCTTAAACTAAAAATTGTTATTTTTTCACATTAAATTATTAATTTGTATCAATGTGAACACTCTATAAATGATCCGTTACATAAACTAGTGAAAATTTAATGTCTCTCGCATGTGTCATTTTAAATGTTGTGATATGCTTGAAATGACATTATTCTTCTCTGTCCCTTTATTTCTCATTCTTGCTTTCTTCCGCCTACATTATGGCAGCTATGACTATTGTTTTGGGTAGAAAAACGAAGGAAAACTTCGATTCGATATTGTGAGTCATTTGATCGGAACACATTTTGTTTGAAAAATAATTAATGGACTACTTTCAAAATTATGCTATATGTTAATTATTTTTCAAGCAAATGTGTCCCGATTAAGTAGCTCCCAATATCAGATTGACCTAATTTTTAGTGTGCGTGATCTTCTCGAAAAATCATACAAAATAAATAATTTGAATTATCGAAACAGATCCAAAATGAGTTTATAGTGAGCCAAAGAAAATCATCCAATTAAATTTTTTAACTGAAAAGAATCCAATTCCTAATGAATAAAATATATTATTTTTAAATGGGTCTAAAAAGTGAGCTTGTATATCATTTTTTTTTTCTAGAAAATGGGTTTGTAAATAAAATATTCTATTTTCTAATCAATCATCTTTTTGACACATCAATATGTCTAGGAAGTGGACTTGTTTATTATTTTCTTTTCAGATGAGTATATATTAATTATGGGATCACAAGTATATTTATAGGATCTATGCTAAACAAGTTGCTCAAAATGGACTTTTTCACTAATTTTCATTATTTCCTAAATTCCTACGAAAACTCACGCAAAAAAAATAAAAAAAAATCACAATTTTAACAGATCAAAATTTTATTAAAAATTTTAAAATTACAAAAAATCTACAAATTACAATAAATCAATAATATTAAAAAATAATTAAAATTTAGTCAATTATTCACCATTTATCATTTGAAGACCTACGACTCTAAAGGAATAACATTCACTATATCCCTTATGTATAGTTAACTTTAATTTACTACATCTATCAATTCAATGGTTCAAAAGTTTAAAACTTAACTGAATTTGTCACTATAATAAAAAAATGACTTTGTCAAAGCCCATTTAACTTGGGCCACTAGAGAGGTTCTAAATTGGGTTTTGGGTTTCCAATAACATATAGGGTACATTACACTAGGATTTATTACACTTTCTATGCTTAAACCATCATCAAATTATCTATTTAATTCTTAAACTATCGATTGAGTCTCCTAAGTTCCTAAAGTATATGAATCAAAATCTATGTTTCTAAATTATCAATTGAATCTATTAAATTCCTAAAATATTTATCTCAAAATCTATTTAGTTCCTAAAATATTTATTAAATTAAAATATATGTCCGTAAGTATTATAAATTCGTAAAAGACCTTACCTAATTAAAGATTTATTACAATTTTTTTTTTTATTTTGTCTCTATTAAGCATTTTATTTCGTTGTGTCATTAAATTAGGCTGATTTCTTAGCCTTGCCAATAAAATTATATAAGTATTAGATATATTGAAAAGTAGAATTAGATATATTGAAAAAGTAGAATTAGATAATTTAAATAATAACATTTTGCTACAAATAATAATAGAAAAAATAATATATTAATTAAATTATAAAAAGAACTGAGTGAAAAACTTAAAAACAATCAATTAATAATTATAAACGAAATTTGACATATAATATTAGATAAAGGCAAACATGCGTAGTCATTTTAGAAGATAAATAAGAAAATATTATAAATAATTACTCTTATCCTCATAAAGAAAATTCACCCTAAGAGGTAATGCCCACTTTTTAAAGATAAAATAAAAATTTAAGGTTTTTTGAAATAAAATTTCAATTAGATTAGGGTTTTTTATCAGTTTATAATATTCATGAGCTTATATTTTATTTTTTGTAACCTTTTCAGGGATTAAATAGATTTGATTTTAATATTTTAAGGACTTAATAAATTCAATCGATAGTTTAGGAATTAAATAGATTTCAATCTATATACTTTAGCGACTTAATATACTAACAATTTGACGATAATTTAGGGGTATACAGTGTAATAAACCCATTACACTAACCTTAAAATTAGAAAAAAAAAAGAAAAAGTTTTAAAGTTTTGACGTAATTTTATTAACTTTTCTTTTAATATGGCTAAATGAATCATAATTAATGTAAGAACATAAAATAATTTAAGATATAAGTTGTTGAATAAAAGAAATGAGATGATCATTTTTTTTATTAATGTAATTTATAAATTATTAATCTGTATGAGACTCAGTATTTTAATATAATTATATTAAATTATATAATTTATTATATATATATATTTTCAAATATAAAGGACAAGTATAATTTTCCCTAAGAGCATCTCCAATGTTAATTGTCATAGTAGCATTGCTAAAATTATAATTTGACATGGTGGTTGTTTGGGAAGTGGGTTTTTTTGTAAGTTTTTTTAGTTGTAGGATATTATTGGAGAATTTTTTTTTTTTTGTGTTTGGGAAGATAGTTGGATTTTTTTATGGTTGGATGTGATGTTTGTGAGAGAAAGTGAAATTTATGGGGTTTGATGTGATATTTTGTTTGGATTTGTTTTTTTTGGTTTTGTAACCAATTTGTCTTTTTGTGAAAAAAAAAAAAAAAAAAAAAAAACCAAAAAACGTCATTTCCAAACACCGCCATGCTACAGTTGTAAAATGCTAAATTATAGTAATGTTTCTCCAATGGTGCGATGTCATTTTGGCATATTCCCAACCAATTTTTTCACATATTTTTTAGGTGGTGTTTGGATATAATTTTTTGAGTAGTTTTTTTGTTTTTGTTTTGTTGGCTTCTATCATATTTTTAGACTTTTTTTAAAAAAGAATTAAATATTTACATTCTACCCGCTTAGACAAATATAATTTTTTTAAAAAAATATAAATATAATTCACTCCATCATTCACACGCCACTACAAAATTAAAAAAATTAATTTGTAATTCAGTCGACAAGTTGTATGGCTACACTTGATTCGAAGAGGAATCACGTGTTCTTGTAGAACTTGGGTGCATCACGGGGAACATGTTCCATTGTGTCATGATTAGCCTAGTGTGTCAAACGATGATGGTGAAATATATGGAGCTGCAATTTCTAACATTGACGATAATTTGGGCGAGTTGCCTACTATGTTGGAAAAGATTTACATGAGTGGCCTCATGGATGATCATATTGACGAAGAACCTAATAGCTCGGAGAGAGAAAATTTAGTGAAGTTCATTAGGTTGTTTGATGATGCTCGACGCAAAGTGTACCCGGAGTGTGAAAAGTTTTCCGTGTTGTCCTTCGTTATTAAGATGCTTCATATTAAGGTGTACAATAAATTGAGCAACAAATCTTTCGATATGGTTATGCAAGTTTGCAAAGACATTCTCCCAAAGTGTGATGAAACTGTTCCATGGACCCTTTATGAAGCGAAAAAGTTCTTACGTGAATTGGGTTTGGGATACGAGCCCATTCATGCATGCAAGAATGATTGTATTTTGTTTTGGAAGGACAACGCAAAGCTGGAGAATTGCCCTACATGTAAGGAGTCTAGATACAAGTTCAACAATGAGAGTGGTAAAAGATTCTACACAAAATATTGAGGTACTTTCCTTTGACACCGAGGTTGAAGAGATTGTACATGTCGAAAAAAAACGCCGTAGATATGAGATGGCACAAAGAGAAGCGTGTGGATGATGGAATTTTAAGGCATCCAGCCAATGGTCAGGCATGGAAGGACTTTGATATGCAGCATCCTACGTTTTCTGTAGAACCTCGGCATGTAAGGTTAGGGCATGCCATGGATAGTTTCAATCTGTTTGGAAATATGAGCACATCGTACAACATGTGGCCCGTACTCTTAATGCCTTACAATCTTCCCCCGTGAAAGTGTATGAAAGAGCCATTTCTGATTATGTCAATGCTTATTCCCAGTCTATCCGCCCCTGGAAGAGACATTGATGTTTTCTTGCAACCATTAGTGGAGGAATTAATGAATTTGTGGGAGCATGGTGTGCAAACATATGATGCCTCAAACGGTCAAATATTTAAAATGCATGCAGCAGTCATGTGGACCATCAATGACTTCCCCGCATATGGTACCATGTCTGGTTGGACTACAAAAGGTTACTTGGCTTGCCCTAAATGTAACATGGATGCATCATCTCAGCGTCTGCGAAGTAAGATAGGGTATATGGGTGCTTGCCTCTACTTGCCCGAGAACCATATTTGGCGAAGAAGTAAGCTCTTCAATGGTCAAAATGAGCATCGGTCCAAACCTGTGGAGTTATCGAGAGAACAAATATTGCAGCAAATTGATTCGAGGATATACAGGCCGTATGGCAAGCATCCAAACAACCGAAAAAGACAACGGAATGATAATCCAGCTTCCAGTTGGACAAAAAGAAGCATTATGTTCGACCTACCCTATTGGAAAACGCTGAAGCTTCGACACAACTTTGATGTCATGCGCATAGAGAAGAATATATGTGACAATTTGGTTGGGACACTACTAAGCATTGATGGCAAGAACAAGGACACGGATAAAGCATGCTTAGATCTAGAAGACATGCGGATACGAAAGGAGTTACACTTGAAGAGGCATTCCAATGGCTCATTCGAGAAGCCTACGGCATCGTACACATTGTCCCCGATAGAGAGACAAGATTTTTGTGATTTCTTGAAATCGATTAAGTATCCTGATGGCAATGCAACAAATATATCCAACTGTGTCACCCCTCATGGTGGAAAATTATCTGGCCTCAAAACTCATGACTGCAATGTCCTTCTACAACGATTACTTCCAATTGGGATGCCTGGATACCTTTCCAAGGAGATTGGGACCACACTTTTTGTGTTGGGAAATTTTTTCAAACAGTTGTGCTCCAAGACATTGAGGGTGACTGATTTGGGGAAAATGGAGGAACAAATCGTACTTATACTTTGTAAGCTTGATAAGATTTTTCCTCCTGCGTTTTTTGATGTCATGGTCCACTTGGCAATTCATTTGCCGCACGAGGCTATGCTTGGAGGGCCTGCGCAATATCGATGGATGTATCCCATTGAGAGGTAATACCACAAGTTCCCGAACATCCCAATTTACATATATGCTTTGATGTTGTAAACATTAACATTCAAATCATATTGCCATGTAGGATGCTCGAAGTTTTGAAAGGATTTGTTTGCAATAAAGCTCGGCCAGAAGGTTCCATTGCGGAGGCTTACATTTCAAAATAGTGTATGATGTTTTGTTCAATGTATTTAGACGACGTTGAAACGGTGTTTAATCGGGAAGAAAGGAACTATGACGGGGGTGACAATGGCTCGGGGTTGGCGATTTTCACTCAAAATGTTCATCCGTTTGGTCTACTAACAAGGGAAACTGATGTGTCTGTAGCTGATCGTGAAACGGCTCATTGGTTTGTCCTACACAACAACTTAGAAGTGGAAGAATATCTAGAGTACGACTATATGTAACCTATATGCTTTTTTTTAGTAATCATTCTTCAAATTACTTATGAATTACATTGTTGGAACAACAACATGGAAGTGCATGCGACATTGCCAATATACAATGCAAAGAATTTCCTAAATGGTTCAAAGATCGTGTATGCTACAATTCCTTATAGTGTAGTTTACACATGAAGTTAAGTTATGTCAAAAATAACATGACACTTTTTTTAATGTAGATGAACCGATTGCGGCACAAAAAGTCACCCGAAGCAACCGATGAGATGTGGGCACTGGCAAATGGTCCTAACAGCTTAGTGAACACATATTCAGGATGCATTTGTAATGGCATCCGATTCCATGCTTGCGACTGTGACAATCGTCGTAAAACTCAAAATAGTGGATTGGTAGTGGAAGGGGACCATGAAGGCCAATTCATAAAGTTCTACGGCTATATTTGCAAAGTTTGCGAAATGACATATTTGTTTAGGCATTGTGTTGTTTTGTTCCAATGTGAATGGTATAACACCAGTAGTAACAAAACTTTTCGTGTCGAACCACATTTGACTACTCTTGATGTAAGAAGTTGATGGTATAAAGATGACCCGTTTGTGTTACCAAGTCAAGTGCAACAAGTTTTCTACGTGCATAATACAAAGTTAGGTGCCAATTGGAGAGTAGTAGAAAAGTTTCAACATCGAAGAATTTGGGATGTGCCCAAGGTGGATGTGCCACAACCTGATGATGTGTTCCAACAAGATGAAAGCACTGATGTTGTACCAACTGAGCCTATGGATGGCGATGTGGTTTTGCGTCGAGATGATATTGACGCTGAAATTATTCCAATGGAAGTTTTGCAGTTTGATAACCGTGTACAACCCAAGGTTGGTATGGATGATGACTTCATCTGGGATGATGAAGATGAACCGACATTGGAGGGCGACAATGAAGAAGAAGATGAGCTTGACAGTGATTTTGATATAGATATGGACATAGAGTGTTGATGTATGGGTTCTAAATTTGGATGTGTCATACAATCTTGATGTATGGGTTCTCAATTTGGATGTGTGTTCTTGGTAGTTGTTGTTTTGTCTTTTTGTCCTTTTGTTGATATAATGGGAAAAAGGGTGAAGGAGATTGTTGTTCTTTATGTGTTATGTAATTAGATGAGACTTTAGTCCTTTTGTTTATGTTGTTCTTCATGTTGAGCTGTATTGTAAAATATTTCACAATGTTGAACCTCTTGAATTGATGACCTCCTCATTTGACATTTATGGTTAACATTGGTTTATGTATAGCACTTTTAATTGACAATCATTATCAATTATTTTTCTATTGTTGTCTTGTTGTAATTTTGTGAGTTACTTTAGCTGCTTCTGTAAATAAGTGTCATATTGGTCATAATATTGATGAAGCATGTGATTTTTTTACTTAATATATCATGTTTGCAACTATTTTGCGGTTACTAGCATGGTTCCTGTGACGAAGATAGGGCGGCGTAAGAAAACAACAACTGACCCCATAGCATCACCCTCAAGAACATCTGCACATGTCATTGTCACCCCACTGACTTTATCGGATGAGACATAACTGCCGGATGACACACAAACATTTGTGGAAGAGACACAGGTTGCTGGTGATGGTAACACCATTGTACTTTTTTGTTGCATCTTCAGAGTTGAGTGACTGAGGACTACAATGTTTATTATTCTTCTGGGTAGTTTATTAGGTGTGTTTCAGCCCCAACAGATCAATTTATTGAACTTAAGCAAATGATTTTTCTTCATCGAGCAAGAAAATTTCTTGAATGTACAGAAAAATTACATTCAAGTTCAAATTAAATAATTATAAACCCCAAGAAAATTTGCTGATAAATTTTAAAATTTAATATTATGTACAGTTGATTATACGTTTCGGGCACTTTTTACAAATTGAAGGACTAACACTTGTTGCCCCTTCTTGACCAGGGAAAAATATGTCAACGCGTGTACGTAGTCCGACACTCGGAAAAGGAGTGTAAAAAAAAATTGCAAGCAAAAAAGAGGAGAAACTACATGTTTATGTCAATTGCATGTTGAATGCACTCATTGGAGGGAATGCCACCCTTGCAACAAATGAGTTGGGATTGCGGATAAGGCGGTTGTGTCTTCTCAAGGGAGTGAAGTCATGGAAGAAAATTGATCAGAGTATCAAAGATGTTGTTCTACAAGCTGTGCTAGTAATTTCTGACTTTAAATTAAATGTCTTCCTTATGTAAAGTTGCAATTGCTGCATTTAACTTGTGTAATATATCACACACTTATGCTTGAAGGACAAGTTTGAAATTGGTGAGGATTTTCATACTGATCAACAAGCTTAAGAGATCGTTGATACAAAGGCGTATCTCTTGTACAAGGATTGAAGGTACACCCTGAAGCAACACTTCGAAAAACTTTTAGAAGAGGGTGTTGATGACCCATATAGTCATCCGCCTACAAGAGTTTGGTTGGATGATTGGAAACATGTGATTGGCGTGGCTTGGAAGGATGCATCTCATTTGGTAACAAACAAATATAAATGACTCTATTGCTTTGTTTGTGTATTATGCATTGACATGTACTAATTCTTGAATAATTCTTTTTTTTTAGAAACGCTCTAAAGTTGCGAAAGCAAACAAGAGTCTGCTTCCATACAATCACACCAGTGGATCTCGCTCATTTCCTATAGCAATGTCGCTCATGGTGAGCTAGATGTAAACCAAACCAAACCAAACAAAGCCTTAAGTCCCATCAAATGGGGTCGGCTACATGAATCCTTCTTCTCCATGCGGCCCTATCAATGGCGATTTCATTTTTCAAATTAAGTAAATTCATATCTCTATTTATAATGCTAGCCAATGTTAATCTAGGCCTATCCCATTCCCAAACACTTCCATCTACCGTTATAGCATCGCATCTCTTCACTACTGCCTCTGTTGGTCTCTGTTGAATATGACCAAACCATCTCAATCAATTTTCTCTCAACTTATCTTCTATCAGTGCTACTCCTACCCATTCCCGAATACACTCATTTCTAATTCTGTCTTGTCTAGTCTTTCCACACATCCACCTTAGCATCCTCATCTCAGCCACACTCATTTTATCTACATGTTGTTTCTTGGTTGCCCAACACTCCGTCCCATACAACATAGCTGGTCTAATAGCCGTTCTATAGAACTTACCTTGTAGTCTAGTGGGTATTCGTTTATCTCACAATGCCCCAGACGCACTTCTCCACTTACATCGTCCCGCCTTAATCCTATGGGCCACATCTGCATCAATCTCTCCCGTTGTTGTGATAATCGACCTTAAATAACGAAAATGTTCTCTCTTAGGCAATTCTTGGTTCTTAATCTTCACTTCTCCTCTGCTTTCATTGTTACTGTTACTAAATTTACACTCCATGTACTCTGTCTTAGTTCTACTTATCCGAAATCCTTTAGATTCAAGAGCTGTTCTACAAATCTCCAACTTTGTGTTAACTCTTTCTCTAGTCTCATCCATTAGCACAATATTGTCTGCAACAAACATACACCATGGCACGTCATCCTGAATATTTCTCGTCAACTCGTCCATAACTAAAGCAAAAAGATAAGGACTTAAGGTAGATCTTTGGTGTAACCCTACAGTGATAGGAAATTCATTTGTCTCTCCAGCTGGCGATCTAATAGTGGTCACCACCCCTTCATACATGTCCCTAATCACGTCAATGTAACCTTTTGTCAACCCTTTCTTCTCTAATACCCACCATATTATATCTCGGGGCACTCTATCATATGCTTTCTCAAGGTCGATAAACACCATATGAATGTCTCTTTTATTTTCTTTATACTTTTTTATTACTCTCCTCAAAAGATAGATCGCTTCCATTGTTGACCTACCAGGCATAAACCCAAATTGATTTTTTGACACCTCTATTATTTCTCATAATCGGCGTTCTATCACCCTCTCCCACACCTTCATTATATGACACATTAGCTTGATTCCTCTATAGTTGTTGCAATTCTGGACATCACCTTTATTCTTATAGATTGGCACTAAAATACTCTTCCTCCATGTATCTGGCATGTTTCTAGTCAACAAAATTTTGCTAAACAACCTATTCAACCAAACAACTCCCTTTTTACCCAAACACTTCCAAGCTTCAATAGAGATATCATCCGGTCCTAAAGCCTTATTGGATTTCACCTTCTTAAGTGCAATCTCCACTTCAAAATTCGTAATCCTGCGATAGAACCTATAGTCTAGGTTTATCGTATTACTAGTTATTTCTTCCCCTATTGTCGTACCTCCATGTTCCTTATTTAATAGTTTTTCAAAATAATTCTTCTATCTTTCCTTAATCTCTTCATCCTTCACTAATACCTTAGAATCCTCACTCTTGGAGCACTTTACTCGAATAAAATCTCTTGTTTTCCTCTTCCGTATCTTAGCAAGTTTGTATACCCTCTTCTCTCCCTCCTTACTATCTAATGTAGTGTATAGGTCATCATAAGCTTTCAACTTAGTCTCTCTCACTACTTTCTTGACCTCCTTATTAGCCAATCTATAGCTCTTAAGGTTTTCCTCAGTTCTATCCTTCTGCCACTTTTTAAAGCACTCTTTTTTTTGCCTTAACTATCGCTTGAACCTCTTCCCTCCACCACCAAGTTTCCCTAGAGTTGGGTCCCGTTCCTTTCGACTCTCCAAGCACTTCCCTTGAGATTCTCCTCATACAATTGGCTATCGAGTTCCACATAGTGTTAGCATCACCTTCTAAGTCCCAAGTAC